CCCTGCAGCCCCTGGGGTTGTCATCTCTTTACTCTTTTAATTAACTCGGCGATTATAGCCTCCTGCCACTCATGTGGAAGCAGATTTGGGCCCTGTGGGGAGACAAGCGAGCTCCTCTCTGTGGGAGCCGCCTCTCACATGGCACCTGCGGCCGGCATGGCTGAGTTTTAATTATTGCAAAACCCTTTGGTGGCTTTTCATCTGTTTCAGACCAAAACCAACAAGCACATTCATTTATGTCTAAGTGAGGCCCGCCCCAAGGGCTCAGCGCAGACACAGCCCACAAAGACCTTCGGAGAAACCGGACTGTGCCGGCCTGACCCCCGCAGGATTGAACCCCAGCCTGACCCCCGCAGGATTGAACCCCGGCCTGCGCCCAGCTCCTGCCGGTTGCCGGAGGAGCCTCAGACCCTGGGACTCACAGCTGGGAAGCTGGCGGGGGGGCCAGGGGCTGTCAGCAGGTCTGAGGCAGGCCTCCGGGGTGTTCATACCACGCCCATCCAGCATGTGGCCTCCAAGGACGTTTCATAAACCAGGAGCGAAGGATGGGGTGGGCAGCGCTGGAGGAGGCTTGGGCCTGGGCTGTGTGCTCTTCCTGCTGGCCACACACCCACTACATGAGTCGCGTGGAACCACGGGGTGTCCTGGGCATGGCGCGGCTGGTGTGGGGAGAAACCTCTAAACCTACGGACTCTTTGAGGAGTGAAAAGGGAGGGAGGGTGGAGATTTGGGGGGGGAATTTGAAAGTCAACTTGAAAGACCAGCTTAGTGGACCTGGCTGTGTCCAAAGTGCATTTGGAGAAAACTGCTTCATCGGGAATCTTTAACCTGAGGCTGAGGAAGGCCTGTCTTGTCCATAGTTCAGGGGTGGCAGGGCTGTGCTGCATGACGGGGTGGTGCAATGCTGGCTCCTTGTGCCCCATGGGGGTCCCTGGGGTCTGAGTGGCCTCAGGCAGGGTCCTCTGGGGTGACCCACACGGGAAGATGCCCCGCAGCCTTTCCCCTCCCGAGGTCTGTGAGGGCTGCGCCTGCCCCTCACTCCCCCAGCATCACAGGCCGGCGGTCCAGAGCTCTGGCCTGGACGCCGTTCCAGAAGTGCCCAAAGGAAGCCTTGGACCCTTCCCCCCCGGGCACCCTCAGGGTGTGGGGTAAGTGAGGAGCAGACAGGAGCAGACCACACTCCACGTGGTGGGCCACAGGGTCCAGTCACCCACATCCAGGTGACACAGGACGCCTCGTGCCCTCTCAGGCCCATCTCCACACCTCACTCACCGCTCCGGGTCCTCACGCCCACAGCCCTCGAAGGCCACATGGAACCAGGCGCCGTGGACCGGCCGTGGCCTCCGGCTCTGCCTCCACCTCACACCGAGCCCTGCCCAGTCTCCCCACCAACTGTGCTGGCGGTGAAGACTGCTGAGCATATGGACGCGCTGGTCAAATATTTGGAGTCTGTGAACCGTATTTTGAAATTAATGAGGATTTTAGCTTTCATAGACTTCCGAAACACATGAACACACCAGCTTACGGGGAGGATGTGATCTGTCTGAAACCAACCCCATGTCAGCAGGGCCGTCTGCAGCAGGCTGCTTGCTGCCGGGAGGTGCCTTTAGGAGCCAGGGGTGCCCAGGCTCCGTGGCCATGTGTCCTGGTGCCTGCGTCTGGAGCCTTGCGGGCCCCCCGCCTCCTGGGTGATGACGTGTTTCCCGAAGGCACCGCATCTTCCAGGGAGGATGCCTGTGCTGCCGCGGCCGCCCACCCAGCCCAAATGGAGCCTCCATGCTCATCACCAACCCCCAGGGCCCCCGGCCCAGTCTCCCTGTGTCTGTGGCACCAGCCGCTACCCACAGATACAGACAGTCCAAGTACTCACCACTCCCCAGAGCGATTCCAGAGAGCAGCCCCCCAACCCAGCCCCGTCCAGGAAGGTTCACTCACTGCTCCTACGAGAGCCTCGTTTGGGGACAGGGGCTTGTGAGGCTCTGATGGACACCCTGGAAGCCCAGGGCGCGCGCCGTAACCATCTGTCCACGGCTCTGCGAGCCGCCAGTGAAGACTGTCCCTGTGGGCAGCGTGAGTCCCTGCAGCCCACCCCCACTTCAGGTATTTAGCCTGATCTGGGCTTCTGCTATTACCAACAGCTCGAAGCAGGAATCACTGGCTAAAAGATTATTAGAAATTTTTAAATAGGAAGTATTTTTAGGCTCAAAGATACTTTGAAAGGAGAGAATGCAGCGTCGGAAGACATGAGGAGCTGAGAATCTCCCCGGTGTGCCGGCACCGCCCATCCTGAAAACCAGCGACTCGGGAATATTAATTTTTAAACAAATAATTATTTTAACAAAATTGCCAGGTGGAGCGACTTGCTTCCGACCACATCTAATTTGGTAAAATTGCTTTGGCCGGGTTGCCAGAAGCCTTGGCAGGAACCAGGCTAGAGGCAGCTGGGCCAGCCGTGGAGGGGAGGCGTCTGGCCAGGCGGGGCCAGGCAGCATGTTTGGTCAGACGGGATGGGTCCCACCGAGGGGCCGGGGCTTGTGGGTGGGCAGGGACCAGAGCTGCTCAGGGCAGCACCGGGGACAGCTCCCAAGCCCCGGCAGGCTCTGGCCCCCACGGAGGGGCTGCCCCGTGTCTGTTGGGAGTCCTCTGGACCAGACACCCCAGGGACCGCACCTGGCCTGACCCTCGAAGATGCTCCCGGCCTGTGGGCAAAGCAGGCAAGGCTTCACGAATGTCAGGACACTGGGGCCCCGTGGGTGAGCTGAGGCAGGCAAGGGTGTGGTCGGGGTAGAGGGGACCCTGCATGGCCCCTCCTTGGTGACAAGGACGTGGGATCCTTGGGCCATCTGCCTCCTCCTCACTGGACCCTGAGGGGCGCAGTGGGGGCTGGGACCCCATCCTTCCTGTGAACACAGCCCAGGGATGGCTGGCTGGCCAGGTTGACAGAACAAGAACAGGCCGAGAAAGGCCCAGAGTCACCCCCACTCCTGGGAAGCCCCCAGCCTTGGACTTGGCCTCAGAGAGACCACCAGGCCCCCAGAGGCAGCTCCCAACCCTCAGGATGGAGGCTTTTGTGAAAACCAGGTCATGTGGCCGATTATTCAGGTCTGGAAACCGGAATCGTCTCTGCAATGTGAAACCATCTGGACACTTGGCTGTTTCTGTCTCAGCCTTTATCCCACGTGGAGAGCAGGGTGGACGGCCTCGGAGCCAGCTGGCCGGAAGTGCCGCTCGGATCCAGGGAAGCCGGAGCGCGCGCCGGGCTGTAAAAGCTCCGCGTTTACAAATGTTCCCAGGACCCACGTTAACTTCCGAGCCCAGAAGCTCATCTGCGCGACGTCGGAGGGCCCGAGGCTCCCCCTCGTCTTCACGGAGACGGTGGCTGGTGGCCGCGCATCGCCGTCCGGCCGAGTGGACGAGGAGGGGCAGGAGGTCATTCGCGTCGCTCGTGAGGTCGGCAGCGCGGCTCTGCTATGTCGCTGTCCTTCCCCTGTGATGAGGCCTCATTAAAATGCCACCGCATGTGACCGTTTCCGTGGCAGCGTTCATAGGAAGCATCCTCGCCCCTCATCTGTGGCCGGGTGCCCAGGCCGCATGTCAGCCCTCGGAGGGATGGACAGGGGCTCACAGCAAACACTCACGGGCCTGCCTGGAGCGGCCGCAGCACTGGGGGTGCTTCCGTGAGCACCGATGGGGCGCCCTCCCCGGCCTGCTGAACCCCAACTCCATGTAGAGGGACCGGGCCTCGCCAGGAGAGCAGGCGGCGCCCGGAGGTTGTCCACTCACAGAAGCCGAGCTCTCATCATCAGCTCGCCCCCCCGCAGGACCCCGGAGCCAGAGCTTCTGCTACAGCCAGAGCTGGGCTCCGGGCAGCCCACAGCGGGGGCCGCACTCCACGCGAGGATTTCGTGCCGGGCACAGCCACTGGCTGCAGGGGACGCTGTGGGCCCCCGGCCACGGCAGCGTGGTCACAGCCGCTCCCCTCCCCCACTCAAGTGTCCAGACAGAGGCTGGCGGAGCATCTGAGCCGCAGGGGATTTATCCACCAGTGCGCAGCTGAGGTTGTCAGAAACCTATGCCTGGGGTGGGGCGGGGCCTGTGGGGCCTGGGAAGATCTTTGCATTTGTCTCGGGGCGTACCACCCCGAGTGTGAGCAGAGCCGGGGCACAGACATTGGCCACACTGCTCAGTGCACACCTGCCCCTTGCACCCTCCCGACACCTGCTGCTCCCCCCACCTGCAGAATGAACAGAATTCCACACCTACCCCCCTCCCCGCCTGATCCCAGACTACCCCAGGGGCTCTTGTCTGGTCCTGGGTGGGCTCAGTGAGCGAGGAGGCCATGTGGCTCCTCCGTGGCCACCAGCAGAAGCCAACAGGAGCTGTGGGGGCCCCAGGCCATACCAGGGCACCCAGGACCTTGTAGGTCGGGGCTTTGCATATGGCCTCCCTCCCCACGAACACCCACTCAGCGCCCACTGCTCCTTCTTCCTATGCCCTCCACAAGGGTCCCAGCTTGCGGAGGGAGGGCCTTTATGCCTTTGCCAAGGAGGAGAAGGTATCCGAGGCCCAGTGGGTAGAGGCCTGCTAGACCCCACAACCTCGGCCTGGGGTGGGCGTAGGATGGTGAGACAGGGCATGAGGTCCCTGACCCTCCACACCACCCCTCACGCAGCCGGACCCCTGACCCGCAGCCCAGCTCAGGATGATGGGGCCCCGGGCACCCCCTGCAACCCTGGACGTGTGAGCTGGAAGCAGAGGCCTTGTGAAGGCGCCACGGATGCAGGCCCAGCTCAGCGAAGCCTTCCAGTGTGAGACCCACCTGAGGGCCTCGTTCTGCAGGGGGCCCACGAGCCCCAGAGGTGCCTGCTCATCCCACGCGGTGGTCAGTGGAAGACTGTGAGGTTCCCCAGCGGTCTGCGGCCCCGCAGGGAGACTGCGCTTGCCCCGAGTCCTCTCAGGGGCTCCACCGAGCGCTGATTAAGGAGGCGGCAGCGTGGAGAAGATTTCAGGTTTGTTAATTTTATTATTTGGTTCTCAAAGGAGGCCTTCACCTCGGGGTAAGCACGAATCTGTTGGCTTGAATCTTGGCTAGGAATGGTCTGCACAAATTCAAACTGACGCTGGGGGAGACTGCTGGTTTCCGTGGCAACCGGAGAGCCGGTTTTAATTCCACTCGGCGAGCGAGGGCTGCCGTGCGCTGTCAGGGAGGACGGTGGCCCTGGCTCCCGTGAGCTCCGTGGCCAGGCTGCCCACCCGCCGCAGGCCGCCATTTCCCCTCTCCGTGGGCTTCTGAGTTCGGGCTGTCAGAGTCCCCACCAAATGGCTGAAAACAGACAAATGCAAAGATCTCTAAAGTGTTCTGAAAAGAGGCAGGTCGTGCCCGAGACGCCAGCGGCGTGAGGCCATTCTTGCTCCAGATCTAAGTATTTACAGCAAGCTCCACCCGTGAATCCCCGGCAGCCATGACCCCTCCAAACTCGAGGCTGGGGGTTCACCCCAGCAAGGGAAGACGGGGCTGGGCCTCACCCCCAGCGAGGGAAGACACCCATCACTTTCTGGGCATCGGCCTGACCTCCGGTTCTGTGAGCCTGCACGAGGCCAGCCCCAGCATCATCTCCAGGACCGTTTCCTGACCTCCCACAAAAAGCCTGCAGATTCCAAAGCCACAGGATTCTGAGAAACATGGACCCCTGGCTGAGGTCTTGCAGGCAGCAGGGCCACTGTCTCTGGGCAGGGGCAGGCCCAGCCCCATCGTTCCTTCCCTAAGGAGGCGGCAGGAGCAGGCGGCCACCCACGGGAGCCCCACACCTCACGTCCAGCAGGACGTGTCCTCAGAGGGAGGAAGCTTACATCCAGTACTAAGAAGCCCGAAGGCTCCTGCGGGGAAGCAAGGCTTCGGCCGAGGCCCCAAAGTTTCAGAGACGGTCAGAGTGCCGACAGCCGGCCTGCTCTTAGAATGGATCCCAAAACTGACCTGTGCAGAAGGAAGGCAGAATCACAGAGCAGTGGGAAGGACCAGGGGTCCCGTGCACCCGAGACCCTGTGAGCTGGGGCCTTGGGTGCCAAATTAACAACAAAGCCCCTTCAAGAGTCTCGCGTTTCAGAAGTGGGTTCTCTCTGCTGCCGGGTCAGCGTCTAACTGGTGTCCCTTTGGAAGGTCAGTGTTGCAGGTGTTGATTTGCATAAGGAAGAATCTCCCTCTCCCAGTGCCCCAGTGCCAGTCCTACCTCCACCAAGGCCAACTGAGCTGCGTTCAGACTGCCTGGCCCTCCACAAACCCCTCCACAAACCCCCCGCAACCCCCCCCACAAACCCCTGCAAACCCTCCCACAAACCCCCTGCACACACCCCCACAAACCCCTCCACAAACCCCCTGCAACCCCCCCACAAACCCCCTGCAACCCCCAACAAACCCCCTGCACACACCCCCACAAACCCCCCCACAAACCCCCCCACAAACCCCTCCACAAACCCCCACAAACCCCCTGCAACCCCCAACAAACCCCCTGCAAACGCCCCACAAGCCCCCTGCAAACCCCCCCACAAAGCCCCTGCAAACACCCCCACAAACCCCTGCAAACCCCTCCACAAACCCCCTGCAAGCCTCCCCCACAAACCCCCTTCAAAGCCCCCACAAACCCCCTACAAACCTCCCCCCAAACCCCCTGCAAACCTCCCCACAAACCCAGCCATTTCTTTGGAGAACATCTTTCCTCCCACAGCAAGGCAGGAGACAGTGGCCCTGGGGCCACATGCCAGCCACCGTCTGCTTCCATGTGGACCATGAGCTGCGTATTACAGTTTTAAACCATCGGAAAAAGTCAAAGGAAGAATAACCCTATGTGATCCATCCACGGATGACACTTGGTGGCATGCAGCCACACCCCTCGCTGCCATGCTGCCCGCAGTGCCAAAGCCAGCAGGAGGCCGCCCGCCCCTGCCAGAGAACGCGGCTGGAGGGGCTGTGGCTGGTGGGCCCCGGGCGTCTGCAGTTTTCCGTCAAGCACGTGGAGTTGCTGCTGAGAAAGGGGTGGTGTAGACGTGGTGACCATTACCAGCATTTAGCTGTGGGCCGAGGAGGCCTGCATGGGCCCACCTGGCGGCATGGGGAGCTGAGCCTCCCTGAGGAGGAGGCAGTGGTGCCTGGGGTCCTGCCTGGCTCCCTCATGGCCAAGTAAGCCGAGAGATTCCTCTCCGTGAAGCCCTCAACCTCTGTAGCTGTGTATTACTATAAACACCAACATATCCTCTGGCTCTGCTCCTCTGGCAGAATCCACGCGATACCCGGTGAGGCACCACAGTAAACACCTAGATAGACCCTGCCTTGTACATCCAGGGGACGCACACAGGGTGTTTCCCTAGCTAGGACTCCATCTTTTGCACCACGAGACCCTTCACGGACGTATGTTTTGAAACGGCATCAAGTGTGGGTTTATTCAGGTTTTAAAATTTCATTCTTGTTTGTCCTATTTCCATTTCCTGGTCTTTTCTATCATTTTTTTCATTTGTTTTCCTCTCTTGGGGAGGTAAGAGACAGGGAGGCAGGCAACACTCTCAGCCGTGTCCCTGTGATGTGGACGAGGCGCTTCCCTCCAGGTGGGACTGGAAATGTGGGTCCTGTGATCAGCCGGTGCCACGGCCGACCCTGCAGTCCAGAAAGCAGAGACTTTGCCAACGAACAGCAAGCAGAGAGAAGGTCAAGGGCAGGGCCCGGGGCCCGTGAGCTCTGAGGGAGAGCAAGCACTGAGGTCCCCAGGCAGACGGCCACCGGCTCACCCGCTGAACACCGCCGAGGCCTGGCGATCCTCCGGGTGGCTCCTCACCCACCCAACGACGCCTGCAGACTTCCGGAATGCAGAACTGCAAGTGGGGTCTGACGCACACCTGGAAGATCGCCGACTGCTCGTACCTCAGTTTCCCCATCCCACAGCCATGTGGGGCTATTCAGGATGCTGTGCCCCATCCCAGCCCCACTCTGGACATGAGACCTGAAGCAGGTGCCCTCTGAGGGCAGCTCCAGGGAAGGGTTGGTAGAGCAGCCAGGAGGGGTCGGGGGCAGCTGTGAGTGAGCATGAGACGCTCGGTGCCCCCCCTCACAAGGCTGGGCCCCGCAGACTCTGCCCTAGGCAGCTCTGGAACACGTGGCAGTGCCAGCTCCCCCCAGATCCCTCTCCTTCACTCAGGTTGGCACTGGGTGTGGAATGGGGGTGCCAGTCCCCTGGTCCAGACCACCACACGCGGGGACAGGAGGACGCTCCCAAGCCAGTGGACCTGCCTGCCTCCAGCGCTGGACGCCAGGGCCCCCACGCACCTGGTAAACTTCTGTGTGTCCCACCTGATGCCAGGGACATCCAGGGCTTGACAACCTTTCCCTTTGGAACCTGTGGGGGCCGAGCCCAGGGCTCACACTGGTTGGGGCTCAGACAGACAGTGGGGGCTTCTCTAGGGCCTCCTGGGGCCTGGCTGGCTCCATCACCCTCCCTCTGCCCCCACAGCATTGAGAAGTTCCCCCAAAATGCCCCCCATGAGATTCAGGGCAGTGCCTGAGTCCACGTCCAGAGAGACAAGCCAGGGCCTGCTCTGTGCCCCAATCATGATGTGTTAGGACCCCCTCCCCCAGGAGAGACAGGTTGGCCTGTGCTCACCTTGGCACCCCGCACCTGGAGCAGTCTCTGTGCTGGGAGCTGCTGGGTGCAGGAGGAAGATGGCAGGGCAGAGCCCGTGGGGACCCCTGGCCTGGGAGCATCAGGGGCAGAACCCTCTCCTTGCTCCCAGCCCCCTCCCAGCCTTCTTGTCCAGGGCCACCACCCGAGGGACACCAGGGGCTACCAAGGGGGTCAGGGCAGCCTGGGCCTGGGGTGCCTGGAGCTTCTCCACCTGGGAACTGGCCATCACCTGCCTGGGCCCCGTATCCCTCAGCTGGAGTTCAGGAGCCATCACAGCGTCCCCACAGAGGGGCTCCGGGAACTCCCGCTGGATGGGGTAGTGGTGCCCTGGGAACATCCCACTCAAAGGACACATCCCATAATGAGAGGCCAGGGTAGCAGAATCCTGGCACCCCTGCAACTCATTCTGCCTCTGTGTGTCTTCACGACAACCCCCCAATAGTGCAGGCTTCAGGCCCCTCAAAATCCAGAGCAGCAGGGCGTGGGTACCCCCCTGAACACGTGCCAGGGTCAGAGAACCTGGAGCAGAAGCAGCCATGTAAAGGTGGAGGCCAAAGAAGAAACAGGCGGAGGCCGAGGAGGGGACAGGCGGAGGCCGAGGACGGGGACAGGCGGAGGCCGAGGAGGGGACAGGCGGAGGCCGAGGAGGGGACAGGCGGAGGCCGAGGAGGGGACAGGCCGAGGCCGAGGACGGGACAGGCCGAGGCCGAGGAGGGGACAGGCGGAGGCCGAGGAGGGGACAGGCCGAGGCCGAGGACGGGACAGGCCGAGGCCGAGGAGGGGACAGGCCGAGGCCGAGGAGGGGAGGAGAAGGGGGTATGGGGTCGCCCAGGGCAGCTCCTGAATCACCCTTGCTGAGGCTGCCCGTGCCCCACAGAACTGAGCTTGTGACAAAAAGTAGAGTGACCTGGACCCACCTTGTGGGGTAGGAGGCCTGGGGCGTCAGGATGGGGGCCTGTGGGCCGCGGGCAGAGCCCACACCTCACTGCGGGTGGGAGGCTGGGCTGTGTGGCTCCCGCGCTAGCACGGCCTCCATGCTCACCTTGCTCTGTGGCCCGGGCTGCAGGAGGGTTGGGTGGGGGGCAGGGACGCTTTCTGCACTGCCACAAGCCCTGCCCGTCTACACCGGCTGGTCTGCCCTGCTGACTCACACAGACGGTTCACTACGGGCGCACCCCAGCCTTGGCATATCCGGACTCGAGGTCGTTAATAAAGGGTGGAAAATTCCTTCCACATCCGTCCCCTTGTTTATGTCTCTGTCTCCGCGGCTCTCCCCGGACGGAGATTTCCTTGGAGAATAACTCGGGCCGCGCAGTCTTGGGGCCGGGCGAGTTTCCGCGCCAGGGCTGGTGCCTCGGGCGGAGCCGGGTGTCTCTTTAAATGCGCTCTGCAGTGTGACGGCGGCCGCCCGGCTGGAGGAGCCGTCCCCACCCTGCGGCAGGAGCCCGCCCGCCGCCATCGCCCGCCCCGGTCCCCATGGTTACGCGCCTGCCTCCGGCCGCCCGGGTCCCCGCTGTCGCCGCGGGAGGCGCGCGCAGAGGCGGCGGTGCTGCTGGCCTGGCCGGGGCCGCCAGTGCGCGGGGCTGGGACTCACCGGCCGGCGCCGCAGCCCCGCAATCTGTTGATAACTCGCCTCCGGCCCCGCCGCGGCCCCAGCGGATGGAGAGCGGGTCCCCGGCGCGGGGGGCGCAGCGTGTCGGCCTCGGGGACGGCGGCCCGGCCGCCCCTGCAGCTGCTTCGGCCGAGGCAGGTGAGAAGTTGGGGTCGGGGCGGCGGGAGGGGCGCGCGAGGCCGCCCTGGGGTGACGCCGGACGCGGGGACAGCGGCTCCGAGTAACTTTCGGCTTCGCTGGGGCGGGAGGCGCCGCGGAGATCCGGGGTCCCCGCCCAGCGCCCCGGCCGGAGCTCGACCACCTCCAGGCGGAGCAGGCGCCAGGGCCGGGCTGGGGCGCGCGGTGAACCCGGTGCCGGCTCCCGGTGCGAACGCCCGGCGCGCCCCTGGCTTTGTGCAGCCGGAGATGGCTGAGTTTGGCTCCGGAGCCGGGAGGGGGAGCGCAGATTGATTTTTAAATATGGAGAAGGAGACGCATCAGCCGCGGGCGCGTTCCGTCCGAGATGCGCGGAGCCCCCAGTCCCCCCCGGCCCCGCCGCCGTCAGCCGCAGGTGCAGCCCCCAGGCCGCCGGGCGGAGGGGAGCGGAGGGGAGTGGGGGACCGAGAGGGGCCGCGGCTGCTCCCTGGCGAGGTCGGGGCTGCGCGCTGCCCACCGCGGGGACCCTCCGCCCGCCCGGCTCACCACCGCTGTCTTCGCAGATGGGAGCTGCTCCGGGACCGCGGCCGCCCCGCCACGGTCACCCTGAGGCCCTGGCCCTGGAGTGCGACCTCCTGCCCGCTGTCTGGGACTTTGACCTTCCGGAGGCCATGGAGGCCGGAGGGGAGACGGGCGCGACCTAACGGCCTGGACGCCTCCTCCCGCGGCGCTCGCTCTCCAGTAACTTTGCAGCGCTCATGGTGAGTACCGGGTCCTGGGGGTCCTGCAGCCGGGGCCAGGCCAATGCCGGGCGGTCACCCGCTTGTGGACTGCCTGGCAGGAAAAGTTGTGGAGCGTTTGGCGGGTGACCGGGCTTGGGGCACAGTGCCGGGGTGGGGGCCCGGGACAGGCCTGGAGGCTCTCCAGGGCCGCCTGTCTGAGCGCCCTCTGCTCCGCGTGCTGGGTGCTGATCATACTAATTAGTTGCAGGCATACGGCAATGTCGAATCATTTAATCAGTGGAGGTGACATCCCTCCTGCAGAGCTGGCATCCGTGCCCTGTGAAAACCTTGTCTGGGCCCAGGCTGGGGTCCCTGCCACCCCAGGCCCCTCCACCCCGTCACAGGGCCTCCCCCACTGCCCCCTGCAGCCCCTTCCCATCAGAAAGTTGATGAAAGCCAGTGGGGACAGACGTGGGTTGGCTTGGGCAGTGGAGGCGGAGAGAAGGTGGCCGTGCACAGGGCAGGCGCAGGAAGGGTGTTTCGCCGGGAAGGGGCTTCTGGCAGGCGGCTGGCTGGAGCGGCAAGCGGGCCGGTCACACGTCCCTCCCCGAGGCTCCGGCAAGCTTTCGCTGCGGTTGCTGACGGTCTGGGTTCCGGAAGGGCTGACGGCTGAGTGAACAATGCATTGTGTGTGCTGGTAAGGGACAGCTGACAGGCGGTGAGGACCCAGGGCACGTGCAGAGAATGCCAATGGCCCCCAGAATGTGCAGCCGCCACCGACGCCAGCACGCGTGCTTCAGAGTGACCCGGTGTTCCTGGCACAAGGAGACATCCGTCTGAGTCACTTGCTCATTTTCTTCTTGTTCCATTCAAAATGTCCAAGCAAGAGATGCCCCAAAACTCAGCATCATCCCCCAGTGTGGCTACACCGCCGAGGCCGGCTGAGGGCTCCGCACTTCCCTTTCAGACACCTGACAAGGCTAAGCGTCCAGCACCGACAGCACCTCAGGAGGCAGCAGGCCGGCCCCAGGGCTCCTGCCCACCCCAGGCTCCCCCCAGCCTCAAGAACCGCCGCTGTCGCCCGCAGGTGCCACATCCAGCGCAGCCCCAGGCCTCCCAGTTGGCAGGATCTGTGGCTTTTCAGCCTGAAATTCAGGTCCTCGTCTGCAAAATGGAAAGCTGTCATTGACAGAGGACAGTGAATGGAATGGAAAAGGGCTTCAGAAGGTGGGGGGGGGGGCGCTGCAGCTCGGGGTCCTGCTCATCCCCTTCCTCACCTCCTCTCCAACCCTCAGCCCCTCTACAATATCCTGTGCAGGACCCTCCCCAGTCCGAGAGGGGCACCCTCCCCTGGCAGGCTGAGCCTGTCCGATCACTCTCCTCTCGGCTCCTGGCTCCTGGTGGAGCCTCCTGCTGCCACCAGCTCTGCCCAGGGCCACCAGGTCCCAGCTGGCCAGGTGCTGCCCAGCCCGGGGTTCCTGCTCACCCAAGACTGTGAAAGCCTGTTTAGTTCTATTTGTCTGGAGAGTGTGGCATTTCAGCGGTTCACTGGGGTTTTTATTCATAGTAAGTAACATTTACACCCAAGAGAATCTCTGAAAGGGACAGACGATGTGTGGGGTTCACAGTGTAAATAGTGGCAGGCTCACCCCAAGGCTGCAGGGTCTTGGGAAGGAAGCCTGGAGGCCATGGCCAGGGCAGGGTGGCCCTACTCTGCCTGCCCCTCTGCTGCGCTCTAGGAGGCTCCCAACCCCCGCGGGGGCAAGCTGCCCGCTGAGCTCCAAAGGGTAAGGGCACTGGACCCTGAGCTGCTGTCCCACAGGCTGGCTGGGCCGGGCGGTCCTCTCCGCAGGCCAGTTTATTAGCCCATGGCGCTCTACAGGATGGAAACTTTGCTCCCCTCTGGATGGACCTGCAGGCCGCTTGTCCAGAGGTTAAAGCTGGGGCACCGTCCTCTGGCGAGCTGCGTCTCCGTCACTGCTGCTAATGAGCGAAAGCAAATGTGAACTTGAACTTGCTGGTCTCCCAAGAGGTGCTGTGAGGACTTACGGTCCGGTGGACTCTGGAATAGGTGTCACTTTGCACCCTGTGACCTGCAGGCCTCACCCTGGGCTCGGGGAGCAGTTGTTCTCGAGGAACTCCAACTGTCAGTCTTTGGAACGCGATAAAACTGCAGACATTTCTGCTTTCCCTGTGTCTATTTCCCTCAGAGTCTCTGAGTCTGGTGGCCTCGCTGAGACACCTTACACTCAGCACAGGCCCCAGCTCTCCCAGTAACACTGTGGTCAGAAACTAAACTGAGTAATAAGATTGGTGTGAGTGATGTGGTGTGGTGTGTGGTGTGGCTGCTATACCGTGACACAGTATGGATTGGGGTGGGGTGGTGTGGACTGGTGTATTGTGGTTGCTGTGGGGTGAGGTGGTGTGGCTGGTTTAGTATGGTTGCTGTGGGGTGGTGTGGATGGTGTACTGTGGTTGCTGTAGAGTGAGGTGGTTTGGCTGGAGTACTGTGGTTGTGGTGGGGTAGGGTGATATGGCTGATGTAGTGTGGAGGCTGTGGGGTGGTGTGGATGGTGTACTGTGGTTTCTGTGGGGTGAGGTGGTGTGGCCGGTGTAGTGTGGTTGCTGTGGGGTGAGGTGGTATGGCTGATGTACTGTGGTTGCTGCAGGATGGGGTGGTGTGGGCTGGTTTAGTGTTGTTGCTGTGGGGTGAGGTGGTGTGGCTGGTGTACTGTGGTTGCTGTGGGGTGGGGTGGGGTGGATGGTGTAGTGTGGTTGCTGTGGGGTGGGGTGGGGTGGCTGATGTACTGTGGTTGCTGTGGGGTGGGGTGGTATGGCTGATGTACTGTGGTTGCTGTGGGGTGGGGTGGGGTAGCTGGGGTATAGTGTAGTTGCTGTGGGGTGGGGTGGTGTGGATGGTGTACTGTGGTTGCTGTGGGGTGAGGTGGTGTGGGCTGGTGTGTTGTTGCTGTGGGGTGGGGTGGGTGGATGGTATACCGTGGTTGCTGTGGGGTGGGGTGGGTGGATGGTGTACTGTGGTTGCTGTGGAATGAGATGGTGTGCCTGGTGTGTGGTTGCTGTGTGGTGAAGTGGTGTGGCTGGTGGAGTTTTGTTTTTGTGGGATAGGGTGTGGTATGAAGATGTGATTTTGCCCTTTGTCACTACTTTTTTTTGAAACAGAGTCTCACCTTGTCGCCAGGCTGGAGTGTAGTTGCGTCACCCCAGCTCACTGCAACCTCCCTCTCCTGGGTCCAAGCGATTCCCCTGCCTCAGCCTCCCAAGTAGCTGGGACTACAGGTGTGCGCCACCATGCCCAGCTAATTTTTTGCATTTAGTAGCAGCAGGGTTTCACCGTGTTGGCCAGGAGGGTCTCAATCTCCTGACCTCATCGTCCATCTGCCTCGGCCTCCCAAAGTGCTGGGGTTCCAGGTGTGAGCCGCGGCGCCCGGCCCTTTGCAGATCCAGGTGTGAGCCGCTGCACCCGGCCCTTTGCAGATCCAGGTGTGAGCCGCTGCGCCCGGCCCTTTGCAGATCCAGGTGTGAGCCGCGGCGCCCGGCCCTTTGCAGATCCAGGTGTGAGCCGCTGCACCCGGCCCTTTGCAGATCCAGGTGTGAGCCGCTGCGCCCGGCCCTTTGCAGATCCAGGTGTGAGCCGCTGCGCCCGGCCCTTTGCAGATCCAGGTGTGAGCCGCTGCACCCGGCCCTTTGCAGATCCAGGTGTGAGCCGCTGCGCCCGGCCCTTTGCCTCCATCCCACAGTTGCGGCGTTGAGGTGCCGCTGGGAGCTTGAGCTCATGCCCCCTTCAGCGTTCAGGCCCCATGCCTACGGCGTCCTCACCTGGTTAGCGTCTGTGATTCTGTGTGGTCACCTGTGAGCTGCCAGCTGTCTGTGAGGAGGGTGGGGGCCCTCACGGAGAACCGAACAGAGCCCCTTCCAGCTCTCAATTCCGGGCCGACTCTTCCTCACTGGAAGTGCCCTCAGCCGGGCACCGTGGCTTATGCCTGTAATTCCAGCACTTTGGGAGGCCGAGGCAGGAGGATCACCTGAGGTCAGGAGTTCAAGACAAGTCTGGCCAACGTGGTGAAACCCCGTCTCTACTAAAAATACAAGAAGTAGCCAGGTATGGTGGTGGACGCCTGCAAACCCAGTTACTTGGAAGGCTGAGGCAGGAGAATGCTTTGAACCTGGGAGGTGGAGGTTGTGGTAAACTGAGATCACAGCACTGCACTCCAGCCTGGGCGACAAGAGCGAAGCTTCACCTCAAAAAAAAAAAAAAAAAAAGAGTTTGGAAGCGTCATGTGCTGCGTCCTGCAGTTCCCGATGGCAGGGCTGAGTGAGAGGCCAAGCCTGACCCGCCCCGCTTGGGGTGGGGGATCCCAGATACCTGGTGTGCGTGGAGTTCCTGGGGTCTAACGCTTCCTTCCCCTCACGTCACACCCCCATCCGGAAAGGACAGAGCGCCTTGGAAGCCTCCACGGAGATGAGGCGGCGGCTGAAGGGTGAAGCTCTCCAGCGCGGGGGCTGTGACTCTGGGAAGCGGCCGGGCTCCCGGCGGTGCCCCCAGGAAGGGGAGCCGCGGAAGCCAAGAGTGAGGAGGAGGCTGCAGGTGCACCCCGAGGCCCTGCCGTCCAGAGGCAGCCCTCAACAGAACCAGGGTCAGGTCCGGGGCCAGCGGCGGCTGTGGGAGACTCGGAGCTCTGAGATGTTGGGAAGAAGTGAGCCTGCGTGTGGGGGTTTATCTCTGTGGGACTCGCACGGTGGCCTCTGTGCGGGCTGGGTGTTCAGGAGGGGCAGGGGCCTGGGACGCGGGTCTCTCGCAGACGTGAGGATAGTCAGCTGGGTTTCTGAACATTTCAGAGCTGTACTGAGTTCTTTCCAATTTGCAGCTTTTTAGTCTAATATCTAAATCACAAAACATGGCCACAGTCTACCGCCCTCATCCACAGTGCAGAGTTTGGCATCCCTCATCCCACTTCGTTTTCTGTAAAATTAAGAACTTTAAACAAGTAACTACCAGTCTAGAAGGAAAGTATCTGCGACATTTTAACTTTTTTTCCCAAATCTCTTCAAAACTTTGCTAGCCCACATACCTCTCCAAGAAAAAAATCAGCACACGTTACAAACGTGATGCAGAATACGGACCCTCTGTGTTCTCCTCCGCCTCTGCCTTTCCCGGGAACACCTGCGTGGAGATGCAGTCACTATTTAAGGGGCAGAGAGGGGGATGCCACAGCTGCTCATGAAACCAGCCTCTGTCGGCACAGAACCAGGAAGTAAAACAGGGACAACCAGGAAGACCAGGGAGGAAGAACAGGAAGAACCAGGAAGAAGCACCTGAATGAAGAAGGAGAAACGGGGGAGGGGAGGCGGGAGGGAGAAGGTGCCCCTGGGAGGAGGAGGAGGAGGCGGACTGGGCGCACCTGGAGGGCACCTGTTCCTTCCTCACCCGCCGGAGCTGCGGGCCTGGCCCCGGACGTCTCACTGTCCCGGAGGAACGCTGCTGTGGGCAGCTGGTGTCCCCAGGGTTGAAGAGGTCACTGTTCCACCTCTCGCTGTCACGGAAGGCCTAAGTTTGATCAGAAAATTCACACATAACCGGATTGCCTGCTTTCTTCCCGTCTTCGCTCCTCTCTTCTTGTTGCTTTAACACCCTGACCCGCTCGATGGGCAGAACACACGGAAGAGGACCCCAATTAACAAGAGAAAATGTAGAAGGAAGTCGGCCGAGAACGAGGAGCCACAGATAAGCCGGAACCGGAGTCCCCGGCGTCAGGCCCACACGCGGGCGACAGCTGGCTCCGAGGCGGCCGATGGGAGGTGGGAGCCGCCTTCCCGGGGGAGCTTCTCCAGCAACCTGGGCCATCCTGCGGGCACAGAGCCGAGCTGCCATTCCGGCCATTTCATCTGCGCCAGGAAGGTTGGGGGCCACCTTCATCCACCCCACCCCACCCCCTTGGGTTTCCTGGGCCGTGTTCCTTAGCCCCCAAGCCCGGCTGCATTCCACGCCGAGGGTCCCAGAGCTCTGCTTCTGTGGCCTTGCAGGGACCTGTCGGCCACCACGTCAGTCAGGCTCCGTTTAGCCACAAGCCGGACCGTCAGACCTGGCGACAGGTGCAAAGAGGAGCCCGTGAAGGTGCAAACTTTGAGACCCAGCATCCGTCTCCACTACACAGCACCTCCTTTGAATTTTAAATGTCACCTCTAAAAATGTAAAAAGGCACTGCTGGTAACTGTAATTTGGGGAAAAACAAAATCGAATGTCTGTTTCTTACCAAATCTTTTGCTGACCCGCGGATCACTGCACAGGTGGGTCCCCGACCCGGCCATCGGCCTCCCAGCAGCTCCGGGAGTCCAGCCTGCCCTGCTGCCTCGGTCCCGTGAAGCCTCACGGCTTGGCCTTCAGGCGAGAAGCCCCCACGCAGGCCGGCGTGGCCCCCACTGTCACCGGAGCCCGGGAGGCGTCCTCCCCCACAGCACAGCCCGCATCCTGGACGCACACTCTGAGATCTTGCCTCCTGCGTGAAAAGCAGCTCTGACGGGGTTAACACGAAGGAGTTTTGTGTTTGCGACTAAAAGCCGCAGACAGGAGCCTTCAGGTGTCTCCTTCCCCAGCCCCGGGGATGGAGGCAGTGGGACAGGATGCAGCTGGTGGGTGCCCTACACTGGGGCTGGCACTTCCGGCCCACCGTCGTGCCGCCCCTGCCCCCACCCCAGCAGCCCAGGAGGAGTCTGAAGCCAGCAGGAAGGCCCTGGGGGGGCTGCGTGAGGGCCGCGGGTCAGACCACCCCGGCTCTTCAGCACAACGGATGCAAAGTCCTTGTTCCAGGGTGACCCTCCGAGGAAAGGCTGGTACAATTCAGAGGGGGCTGGACATGGAGCGGACCGCACACGGCTTTGCCCACGGATCCGGGTTTGCAACAGCGGCTCGTGGGTCCTGTGTAAAGGGTTTCAGTTCAGGTTTATTTTAGACTCTAGGTCAATGTCATGGAGGAAAAGCCGTCGACTCTCACGGAAGAATCCTGGGGAAGAGAATCCAGGGCGTCGCTCCTGCCAGTTAAACTTCAGTTCTTCCACCGACATGGGGCATCCTCCTCCCAGCAGCAGAGGACTCAAGAGATAACCCAAGCCAGGAGCACGAGCTTCTCCGTGACTGTGGAGCTGTCTGCACGTGGCAGGGAACGGGCGCCAACGGAACCGGAAAACGGGGGACAACGGGCCCCAGTGTCCCCTGAGCCCCTCGAGGGCCCCGTCCATCGTCTCCCGACGGCACCCCTCCCGGAGCCAGAACGCCAAGGAGGGACGTGGGTGCATCTGCGGCAGACCGGGCTGTCCCTGGGGCCGCTCTCCAGGGACACGGCAGCCGGAGCTGGAGCTGGGAACAGATGCTCGCCCCTCACCTGTTGAGGAGGCGATTGGCACTTTGGGCTCTGGGGCACTCAGGAGAATCTGGGCAGAAGCCCACCAAGCTCAGCTCTTCACAGAGGGGCAGAGTGAGGGTGGGGCTCCCAGGCCCGACCTTCCCCAACACCCTCAGGAGCCTCGGTCCAGGGTGGGCCTCAGAGCCAAGCCTGAACCACAGGACGCGCTGTCTCCGTGGGGTCTCGGTGTCCAGGAGGAAATGGGCAGATTCTAAACACCCTGCGGGAAGCCAAGTGTCTGCACCAATACCTGCTCCTCTCACACAGGTGCCTGCACCCTTGCACAGGCTCAGGCCCCTCTTCCCGGGGTGCAGGGCCCCACCAGTGCCCGCCCTGGCCAGCGCCGCTCAAACCCTGGGGCAGAAACTGGTCAGCCAGCCCCTCGGCTCCTGGAGCGCCCTCTGAGCACAGTGGACACTCCCTGGCCCGCCAGGGCCTCGTCTTGCCTGGGCGACAGGAAGCGTGGCTTCACGGGGGAAGCAGGAGCTCCGGGCCCCGCTGGCGGCCTGCTTCCCCACACCGGTGACGTCGCCTCCGCCCAGCGCCCTTCACGCACCGGAGGCTCCCTCTCTACTTCCCGCCTCACTCGGCCGGTGCCATCCCAGAGGCCCAGACAGCTGCCTCCTCCTGCCCAACACCAATGGCAGCACCCACGGTGCCTTCAGAGCTGCCGGAGCCTGGCGCAGGTGCAACGATCACCAGGGGGAGCGGAGGGGCCAGGTGGCTGCAGCCCCCACCTCTGCCGGCAGCCACTCACCGGGTTCTTACAGGGACGCAGCACCTACCCCGCGGGGCACCGTCGCTGGCCTGAGGGTCATAACTAAACACCACACAGTAGGGTCCTAAAGCACAGACCTGGGTTTCCCACAGTCTGGAGGCTAGAAGCCTGAGACAGAGCTGAGTGTGGCTGCTGCCCTCGAGACCTCCTCCCCGGCCTGCACACGCATGTTTCGGGACTCTGGTGCCCCCGAGGCCTCCCGGGCCCACGCACCCCTCTGCGCTTCCCTGCTGAGCTCGTCTCACTCACCTGATGAGTAAAAGCTGAAGCCCCGTCCGCTCCACGCCTTTCCAGCAGGGACGTTCTTCCTGAAGCCTACTTGGCCACGGAGGATGCATGCTCTCTTTTGAACTCTGACCCTGAACCCTTTTCCTGGACGGCGAAGCGGGTGGAGTCGGTGCCATCCAGACTCGGAGTGGGGCCTCCGTTCCGGATCTGTGGGTGCCTAAGGGCCTCCACTCTTTCTCTGCCTCTCGTGTACAGAATCCCGTGAGATGTTGACAGGCAGGGTTTCGAGGGTGTGGGGCTCGGGGTGAGGCCAGGGCATCCCGGGGAATTCGCTGCCCCTCTGTAAGGTCCATCCAGACCCCACCCGGCCACCCCCAGGCTGCAGGAAGAGAGGAGGCTGGAGGCAGGCGTCAGTCGGCCCAAACCCTGCCCTGGGAACCGACTCAGAGCCGTGCAAGGATGCCCTCGGCGAGCAGAGCCGTGGACGCAAGGTGGCTGTGCGGGGTCCCTCCCGTGCACTCCCTAAGCGACCACAGACGCAGCCTGACCCTCCCGCCCCAGACAGACCCCTTTCCCTGGGGCCCCACACGAAAATGCCTGGAGCGGCTGCAGGGGAGGCTGAGCCTGAAGGGGATTCCCAGGTGACGGCGCCGGTCGGTCACGCGTCTCCTCTGCTTCCTCCGCAGGATCTGAAGACCGTGCTCTCCCTGCCCCGGTACCCAGGGGAGTTCCTGCACCCCGTGGTGTACGCCTGCACGGCTGTCATGCTGCTCTGCCTGCTGGCCTCCGTCGTCACCTACATCGTGCACCGGAGGTGAGCCTGGCACGGGCACGGGGCCCACTTTGCCCCAAGAAACCTGCTCGTACCTTCAAAGGCAAGTCCCTGAAGGGCAATGTCACCCGCCCAGTGTAGTAAAAGTCCCTGAAGGTACAACTCAGCCAGCGGCCAGCTCATACCTGCCCAGCACCAGGCGCCCATCACACAGCCAAGGGGGGCGGAGCTGGGGAAGCTGCTCCTTCAGGGTCTCTCAACGGCAACCCCCATGTCCTTAACTGGGTGAAACCAGTTCTCCCGGAAATGGGCGCCATGTCGGTCCAGACGCCCTGAAAAGCTCATGTCCCTGGGCGGTCAGCATGGCCTGTGGAGAACGGGAGGGGGTCCAGCCGTGGTCAGGGTGGGCGTGGCCTCAGCCAGTCCCCGGCAGAGGCTCAGGTATGTCTGAGGCTGAGGCCACCTTGGTCACGGACGGACACAGCTTGGACGCGTCCAGGGCCGCAGTCTCGTCAGAGGTTCGGACGCACTCGAATGAGGCTGTGATGGCCAGAAGAGGCGTGGGCAGGTCCGAAACGTGGCTCGGTCTGTTGGGGCCACTGTAGCAGAACACAGGGCCCTGGGGATTTATCAACCATAGAAGCTGGCTTCTCAGTTCTGGAGGCTAAGTTCTCAGACCACGGCACACACGACACTGTGGAGAGAGCCCGCTCCGGGCGCACGGACTGTGCCCACTCCCCGTGTCCCTGCCGTGGAGGGAGAGGCCCTCTCAGGGCTCTTTCTCAGGGCCCCTGACCCCACCACAACAGCTGAGGCCCCGCTTCTGAAGACTGTCAGCTTGGGGGTTAATGTGTCCCAAGAACTGGGGAGATAAAATACATTCAGACCAGAGTGGCTGCGATGATGGGGAGAGGCTGAGGCCAGGCCGTGGCCGGAGTCTTGGTGGCCACGGTGCAGCCATACCTGTGCTGGCCACACAGGCCTCAGACATGGTGGTGGTCACAGAGAGGGTCGCGGTCACGGGTGGGCATGGCAGGCTCAGCCCCAGGCTACGGCTGGGGTCTCGCTGAGTTACTCCAGCCACGGCCTCTTCCTGGCCTGCCGGACTCCTGCTCAGAGGGATGACCCGTGCTGGGACCCTCTGTCTCTGAGACTGTGTGGCCATGTCCTGGAGTCTCAGAGGCTCAGCATCTTCATCCGCCCAGTGGTCAGGCTGTTCAAGCTTCTGCAAACCCCTCCCAGCCTCAGGGTGCCACAGCAACCTAGGACAGGACCACCAGTGGCCACCACTCAGGGCACAGTCGGCACGGCCCATCTGCTCTCCCCTGACTGGGTCCTCGGACAGTTGCCCCTGACCCCACGGAGAGCTCGGACTCCCCGGGGACAGAGCCTGCACCCCAGAGCGCTCCCCTCCATCCCTCCCCCAGTGGAGCCTCTGCTCACATGCACCTGCTTTCCTTGCCCACAGCGCCATCCGCATCAGCCGCAAGGGCCGGCACACGCTCCTGAACTTCTGCTTCCACGCGGCCCTGACCTTCACAGTGTTCGCCGGTGGCATCAATCGCACCAAGTACCCCATCCTGTGCCAGGCGGTGAGTGTGGGGGCGCCTTCGTCAGAGGGGAAGTGTGTGAGCGTCGTCTTGTTTACGAAATAGTATTCCAGCATGTGCCCAGATATTTCCTGGGAGGGGAGCCAGGCCCCGGCCTGTCGGTGTCTCGGCTTCATGCCACAGGAGTCCACGTGGCTGCTCCACGTTTGACCACAGGACTGATTTCACTGCATGGCCCCCGCCAGGACTGTGCTAACCTGACATTTACCATCCCCAAAGGGAGCGCTCCCCAGGAGCAGGGACACAGCCTGCCCCTCCCAGAGAAAGTGGTGGGGTCAGCTCAGGAGGGGCATGCACTCGGGTCCAGGGAGGAACCTGTGAACTCTGCCCCTGAGTCACCAGGAGGGTAAGCTCTTTCCCTCCCTGCAGCAGATGCCCCCACCCCCGGGAGCCAAGCAGAGAGGCCACTTGGGGAGCCCTCCTCCCCTTGCAGGGAGAGCTGGAGCCTCAAGGCACTGAGCGTGGAAAAGAACAGGGCACAGAAGGGCTCTTCAGGCTGAGGGGCCAGCCTGACCTTGGTTTAAAAGCGGGGTGCACGCATCACACACAGCTTCTGGCAGAGCTCATGGGAGACACTTACGTCAAATCTAAGCTGGGTCCTCATCCACTTTGCACTGTGGCTCATGGCCGAGGAGAGGACCCACAGCTCTCACCCCCAGCCAGCCCAGCCCCAGTGGCCACCCCCTCCAGCAGTCACACAGCCCAAGGTCAGCCCAGAGCACAGCCACGTCCACGACCCAGGCACATCCAGGGGGTTTCCACGGATCATCAGCCCTGCGGTTTCTGGGACCCTCCCGCAGTACCTGGCACTGACGTGTGCCCGCAGATAGCAGTGGCCGAGATTCACGCAGGGGCTGTTCCCACAGGGGTATTGGGGGAGAATCGGGGCTGAGTGCACAGAATCCCCCTCCCCTCCAGGCTCCCACACCTGCCTGCAGCCACCGTGGGGCTTCCTTCCCAGCACCACACTTCCCTGCACAAGGTCGCGGCAGGCCAGGCAGGCGCTCACACAAACACAGGGCCCTGGCATCCGACACGCAGAGGAGACGTCGTGTATGTCAGACCACAGGTCGTGGCAAAGCGCCAGGAGGCCACGCCCCCCACCGAGGCCTGGGCCCAGCAGAGGAGGCGCTGGCACCCGCCTGAAGGCAGCTGAGGCCGGACACACCTCCCTCCTCCTTAACTGTTCCTCTGATAAGCTGGAAACAACCACAGCAAGTGCCCGGGAAACACAATTGACATCCGGCCTGTGAGTGCCTGCAAGGGGCCATTTGGAGGTGGGGCCGGGGACCGCCACCGCCAGGTCTGCACGCTGGGAGGAAGCCTGCCGGAACCGCGGGCAGGGACGCCACCCAGGGCCTTCAGCAAATCCTCCCTGTGCCTTGGGGACGCCCATCACTTTCTCAGTCTCAGCCTGCCTGAGTGGAGCTCCTGGGGCCAGGACCTGCGGTGACAGCCTGGGGTGGCTGCTGGGGTGTTGGGGCCGCAGTGGGGCTGGTCTGGAAGGTTCCAGAGGGGTGCGATCTTGGAGGAGATCTTGTTAAGGCAAAAGCCTTCGGGAGGCGATGAGTGGAAAAGACTGTGGCTGATTTCCAGATGCTGCCCTGATCTCCCAGAGAGCACCGTTCACTCACTCAGTCACTCAGTCAGTCAGTCAGTCATTCACTCAGTCAGTCACTCACTCACTCACTCACTCACTCATTCACTCACTCACTCATTCACTCATTCACTCACTCGTTCACTCAGTCACTCACTCACTCATTCACTCATTCACTCACTCACTCATTCACTCACTGGTTCACTCACTCATTCACTCATTCACTTACTCATTCACTCATTCGTTCACTCACTCACTCACTCATTCACTCATTCACTCACTCACTCATTCACTCATTCACTCACTCATTCACTCACTCACTCATTCACTCATTCACTCATTCACTCACTCGTTCACTCACTCACTCACTCACTCATTCACTCATTCACTCACTCACTTATTCACTCACTGGTTCACTCACTCACTCATTCACTCATTCACTTACTCACTCATTCACTCACTCGTTCACTCACTCACTCACTCATTTTGTTTTTTATCATTTAATTTTATATATTTTGTAAGTGTTAGTTATTATTATTTTTCAAACTATATATAATTTTTTCAGCAATTTTAATTCTTTTTCTTTTTATGGCAAAAATCTTTTTTACAATCTAAATATTTTTTTCATCATGCTCAATAATTTCATTTTGCACATTTTCAGTCAATTTAGCAATTTTTTCAAATATTTATCCATATTCAAATAATTCAATATTCATTTATTTACATAAAATTATTTCTATTTTTATTCAACACCATTACAATAATTCGCATTAATTATTATATAACAGTTTTCAGTGTCACCAGGCTATTGTTATTGTTTAATTTAATTATTATTCATCTAGTAATTATTACTTAATTTTTATTGGGGTTTTATTTTTATGTGTCAATTCATAAATATTTATGAAATTTTATTTATTTATATTTCAATATTTGCATTTTCTTAATAGATCATGTAATAACATATTGTTTAATTAAATCATTATAAATTCATTTTTATTTAATGAATCATTTTCATTATTAATTTTTTGTGTTTTTGATTATTCCTTCTTTAAGTTTTATTGTCAAATCAAATTGATAAGTATATATTTCATTTGATACATTTACACATGTATTGCCTAATAAAAATATAAATCCAATTTTTTGGTTCATCAATCAAATTTTATTATACAATATATTATTTTTATTATATTCATTCAGTATTATTTATTTCAAAATTAATATTGGGCAATTCATCATTTTTATTTATTTCTAAATTTATCTTTTTTTATTTTATTTCACTAATAAAAAATAAATCATTTTAATTAAATATCATTATATATTAACACATTCTTAAATTTACATGTATTAAGTCATAGGTAAAACATTTTGGTGATTAAAACAAACAAACATCAATAATCAATCAGTATTATTTCATACTTATATATTTACTTTCCATTTCATTCAATTTCATTTTATACTGTTCATAGTTCTCTTTTCAATTTTTATCAATCTCCATATTAATATCTTATCAACTCTGGCATAGCATTCACATTCATTATTAAATAACTTTAAATTTTTTTTTTCAATTCATACATTAATTACCATACAACAAATCATTATTTTTATTTTGATATTTCCATTCTTATCATTTTTGTTCATTCAGTTATGTTTAATTCGAAAAAAATTATTTAGTAATCATATTTTTTCATTATTATTTTATTAATATTTATCATATTCATCTCATTTTTCTCATATTTTAAACTCATATCATCAAATATTCAATTTAAATTCAAATTTTGTCATTATTATTATTACCTTACATTTTTACCACATTTTAATAAATTTTTTCTATATCATTATTATTACTTTTTATCTTAAAATATAATTTAGTTGGATAAACAATTTTAAAATGCATTTCATGCAATTCAACACAAAATCTAGTATCACACAATTATTTAATTATGTATTCACAAGATTAATTCATTTTAATTGTGTAATCTTGTTTTCATTTCATTTATCATGGCATATACATTTCATTTATGCTCAACATTTACAACATTTTATTATATTTCCACAATTTACAAATCATACGTTTTTACATATACCTTACTAATAATATTTACTTATTATATGCATATTATTTTACTTATTTGTATATACATTTTCTTTATTAACCCCCATAATAATCTTATAGCGCGAATGGACAAGTCATTATACATTCTTTTAAATTGTTGTTTATATATTTTCACATTTCTAATAATTCAAATTAATAATCATTAATTTTTTCTTTTAAACGTCAATATATCATATTAATATACATCATTTCTATTTATTACCCATAAAAATTCATTATATTATCATGAATTTTTTTGATCAATCTATTAATATCATGTTATCTTATTTATTATTCATATTTTTTTCATCGATAGTATTAGTTTAATGAAATAAATATGACAGTCTTTCATTCTTTTGTAATTATATGCTAATTCAATTGTTAACTTCCGATTTTTTTCACTTTATTATCATTTATCATTTTCATAAATTCAATTTTTGGCATAGTCAAATTATACATTGAGCATTCATCTATATTTCCTATATCCTAAAGTTCCAGAACAAAATTTATAATAATATTTAATTTTTTTCACATGTTTTTAACGTTTTTTAACCCGTATTTTGTCAAAAAAATAGTCACATTGATAGTCGCATTAATATTTAAATTTAACATTTTAATTGTTTATTTTTTTCATTAGAATTTTTATAATATAATATTTGATCATAATTAATTAAATGACCCACTTAGGCAACCCTCACTTTATTCATTTATCAAACAATAATAATTTTATTTCAATTTTTTATCAATTCAATTTTTTAATTTTTGATTTATTATTTTCATAATATTTTTATTATATGTAATTCAATAATCCACATCATCATGTCACTAACAAATCATTATTTTCAAATTTAACTTATCATAATCATTTTTTTTTACTAGCTACATTTTCAAATCAAAATACAATTTATTATCAGCATAGTCAATGTATTGTATATTTATTGCAGTTATTCATTTATTTTATTAAAAATAACACAATTATTATTTTATTATATCATGATAAATTATTATTTAACAAATCATTGTAATTTATTTTCATTATAATATATAAATTTTTCCCCAAAAAAAATTAAAAATATTTACAATTACATTTATATTTTTTTTTTCTGTTAAAAAACAAAAAAATCATATAATTCATCACAAATTTAAACATTTTTCTCATTTATTTTTTTTTCAAATTTCAAAAGCATAAATTATATTATTATCATATTCATGAGTCATTTATCATTAATTTTATTATATTATTTCAATTTCATTGTATTTTTATAAATTACAATAATTCATAATAATTAATAAATTTTATATTTTATTTTCCAATCAAAAATTTATTATTAATGATCACTTAATTTACACATCACAATTAAATGATATTCATAATTTTTTTCACAATTGCCATTGTCATTTATTATTCACATTTTTAGTCATTTAAATTCATTTTTTATATGTTTGAACTACTTATATCTACTTCATTTTACAATATATTTATTTCAATATTGTTTTTAAATATATATACATATATGATTATCCTTATTGATTGTCAAAATATATCATGTATCATTTCATCAATATAATCAATTTTTTTTTTAAAATTTATTTTATATTTACTTTAAATACAATTTTATCATTATGTCTTCCATTGGTTTTTTCTTATATATATATATCATTTTTTTAAAAGATATTTATTTTTACTTATTTTTGCATAATTCTTTTCATGAGCGACATTTATTATTAATCCTAATTTTTTTGGATTAAGTATTTCAATACAAATTGGCAAATTTTGATCATTTCATATTTCACATCAAATTGTTTTTAATAATCTATTTATTATTACATTTTTTTTTCTAAATATATTGTCGTCATTGTTTAATATTTTTTTAAGAGTTCCCAATTTTATTCAAAGATCATTTTTATTTGCAATACATATTTTTTAATTAATTTTACTTGATTTTTTTCAATTTTATTAATGCACACATATCTTTTTGTGTTATTTTAATCATCATTATCTAATTATATTATTTTTTAGTTCACAAATTGGTCTTAATTATTATTAATTGTTCATAATCATATGCATTTTCTTTAGCTCAATATAAATTTATATTTATTATTAATTATACAAGTCCACTTTTTTCATTTTTAATTTTTCTTTTTTTATTAACATGCACATGTCAAATATTCGTACTCATCACAAAAAATATTACAGTTCATTCCTCATAGTATTTTTATTATTACCTAAAACTTATTGATTAATTTTGCTTTATTTGATATTTATTTTAATAATTTTTATGTGTCCTTTACTATAGATATATTTTTATTAGGATCATGTAATGCTACTTCATCATAATATAAATTTACCCATTTACAATTTGATTATTAAAAATTTTTAAAAATGTTAATTTTTCTTTATAAATTCCTATAATATATTTAATGTTTACATAAATATTATTATAATTCACATATACTAATCATTATATCTTTTTTTCCATTCATATTTATTATATTATTTTTAATTATGCCTATATTTAAATTTTTTTTTTATTTTACCTATACATTTTATACAAATAGTAATAACAATATTTTTATATTATATATTGATATTTTCCATTTTTATTATTATATAGTATATTTTTCAAACATATGATAATATTTATATACATTTTTCTTTAAAAAAAACCATAAATATATGGGCAATATATTTTATCTAATTTAAATAAATTTATATTTCCAATTTCATTTCAAATCATAAATTAATTCGATATCATTTTATTGAACATATAATCCCATATCACATAAGAGAACCATCACAAATCATTTTCAAAAACATTTTTATGTATGTAACAACATTCATATTGAATTTATATTATTCATTTATTTAGAAATGAGCATTTTAAATTTGCAAGTCATTTTCAATTTATCTTTTAGTTATAGTTTTTAACATCTTTTTGGGTTCCATCCAAGACATTCATTAAGTCTTTCATTTTTTTCATTTTCGAAAAATCTCAAATTATAAGATGTTAGAGCCTCAAATAATTTTCATTTATCACTTTATTTTATGATTTTATGTTCATTATATTTAGCCATTATAATAATTAGACATTATCATAATTCAAAAAATTATTTATGGAACATTCTATGATTTATTTTTTTTGAATTAGGCTTCCGCATCATTATTTTTATATTTGTTTACCATTTTTATTTCATACACGTTTTTAATTTTAAATTCAATTTATACTACAATCAATTTTTCATATAAACATTTCAATTTTTTTCCAATATATCAATTATTATTTTATTAAAATTCCTTTATAATTTCAATTTCGTTTTTTTATATTATTAATTACTTGTTCATAATTTTTCTTTATTTTTTTCAAATTTCAAACTATTTTTATTTTTACATTTCATATGATTTCTAATATTGTTTCAAAAATATTTTATGTTATTCATATGAATTTAAATTCATTTATATAATTTAATTATCATTTTACATTCCAATAATAAATTTATTATATTTTGTAAATTAAAAATCATTTTAAGTATCATTCATCAAATCATTTTTAATATTTCAATAATTTTTATAATAATTCAAAAATATTTTTTATTATTCAGTTTGGGGATAGCATTAATTTTTTTTATAATTTATTTAAAATTTAATTTTTGTATAAATCAATTTTTTTTTTTATTATTACATAACATTTTTGTTTTTGTTGTTAAAATTAATGACATTTATAAAAAAAAATTCATTATTTAATTCATTTCATGTTAATATTTTTTAAAATTAATGATTTATTGTTTTACACTTAATTACATTATTAAACATTCAATCATTTAACATTATATAAACTTAATTCATGATCCCATAAAAACAAATTAACAATTTTTTTTTTTTTATCATCCCATTACACCATGTTTATTTACATTTTAATAAAGCCAATAATCATTTTAATTTTTAATTTATTTTAATATGAATTATTTAATATCATAGACTACATTTATTTAATTGTCAATGCATTAAATATTCATCTTTTTTGTCATAAATGTTCATTTTTATTTTATTTTTATTATTGTCATTTCATAATGACACAGAGTACAAAATACTATATTATTATTTCACAATGTCTATATATTCCATACTTACACAATTG